TCCAAATCCAAATCCCAAAACATTGAATAAAAATACGTTCCGGATCGCGGGTGCATTTTATGTGACGCAATCCAAAGACATGTTTTAAAACGATGTTCACATTCTTGGAAAAATAATAATAACAATTATGAAAGCGGTAAAAAAATAAAAATTGCACATAAGTTCATNAATAAATAAATAAATCCCGTTTCGATTGTCCTTTAATTGGAAAAAACTCCCTTCACCCCTCGCGAGGGCGGACAAAGGATGTGTGACACAACCAAGCCAAACCTGTCAATTTCTTGTGCAAAATCAACTCTCTCCTTAGACCAGTCATTCACCAACGTTGTTAGAAGACTACGTCGTTTCGCATATTCGCCTAATCGAGAATATCCGTCCCAATACCAACCCTTACTCCCATATTCAAATTCAGATCTCAAAGAATTCAGGCCATGACAAGACCAAAAATAGGAGCCATAAAAGTCTTCCGTCAACCAAGCGTCTTAGCCTTACCTCTGTATATTTCATCCCCAGATATCATGCTGAGAGAAATAGAAACATACTAAGAGAAAAATATCAAATACATATAAAAATAAAAATATATACAAAAAAAGGATAAAATTAAAAAGTCTAATCTAGAAAAATAACTAATTTCTAAATCAGCGGCAACGATGCCAAAAACTTGTTGCGGCGAAACGCACACGTAAGTATACGCAATCGTCAAATAATAAAGTGACTAAAAGTCAGATGTCGAACTCACGAGGACTTGTGATTAACTATTAACTAAATTAGACTATCATAATTATTTAAACAAGAATTAAACCTAGAAATATTTGACTTTAAACTAATTAAAATAAAGAAAAATAATAATGAACTCTGAAAAAAGAAAGAACAACTTTTTATGTTATCAATGTGATGAAAACGATCTAGAGTTATGGGCTATCTAACATTCCTATTGTATTCTTCAATTAAATTGACTAACTAATTTGTCTAGTTTATTGCTTGACAGGGTTAATATTGCTCATAAGAATCTGTCGAGTTCTTTCACCTATTCAAGCTAACCTAACGCCTATATGTTTATGGAATTAGAACTACCAAGAACACATTTATAATTCCTGTAAATCAATCAAGCAAGGCAATTCGGTATATGTCTATCCTAATTGCGAATCCGTTCCCCAAAGCCCAGGTTCAAGAACTTGCTCAACTCAATCCTATATGCAATCTAGAATTCCCACTTTCGAGTTCAACTTTAGATTCGTAGATAGTATTCAATTAGTGATCAAGCAATCAAATAATTAAGTGTAGGATTGAATAAATAAACCAATATGATAACCTAAGAAATCAAAATCAATATTCGAATAACAATAGTCATGAAAGAACCACAACCCTAGAACGTGAAGTTTAGCTCCACATAGACATGGTAGCCAAACAACAAATTATACAAAAAAAAATATAAAACTTACTAAGTTTGGTGGAAGAAAAGATGAAACCCGGACTCCACGGCGGCTCCTTTCTCTCCCTAGGCGAATTCTCTTCAAAAGTATGTTAGATCACCAAGAAGGGGCGTTTTTGGCCCATATATTGCGTACAAAAGTCGTTGGTCAAATTTTTCCTTTTCCTAATCCGGCTCAGCTTCAGGGATTGATGCTAGGATGGATGCGCTTCCACTTCTCAGCTTCGCATGCTCTTTGTTCCTCCATCTCTGTTGTGCCCAGGTCCGACTTCACTGCTAAAGGTGCACCAACTAGTCTTTTTTCCAAGGTTGGATGCGACGCATCCACCCTCTTCTCCTATATTTGAAGCATCTTTTCTTCATATTTTTTCACTCCAAACAACCTAAATCATCACACACAACTTAATTAGTCATAAAATCAATAATTAACACATGTTGGGCATTTTAAAGACCAAATAGCACAAAAAACGATTAAAACATGAATGAAGTAACATTAAAACATATAGAAATATGCCCAACATCACCAGGTCTTGACAAATTGCTATGACTTCAGATTCAGTTGGGCATCGACGTTACGAGACTATGCTATTCTAAAAGATGAGTCCCTTTTGTCATCTTAAAAACATATTAACAATGGTATTCACAAATTGATCGGAGTCAAAGATGATTCGTGCTTCTGCTATGTCATTGTAAATATTGTACCATCGAAATCACCTAACTGAATAATAATAAGTAATAAATACTACAGTAATTTGTAAGAAAACAGTGGTTTTATAATTAAGGAGACCAAACCGGAGTCTAAAACTATGTTTGGATCATTGTTACTCATCGTTTTATAATGTATTGTTCTTTACTGTATTGTATTGTACTGTATCATTTTATTGATACAATATTTGAATAGATTGTATCGTTTGTTGTTAAATAATATTTTTGTTGTTTGGTTTGACAGTATCGTATTGTACTATAATCGATAAGTTTACTAAAATATCCTCAATTGTTTTAAACAAAATTTATCAAGAATTACGTATAAAAATAATTTAAGAGACCTCTTTCTACTAATTTATCATCAATTATGTAGCTTGGAAACAAGAGCAAAAACTTGAAGAAAAAAGTTAACTATCATTAGCAAAAAAAAAAAAATCAATCTAATACGATGGAAAGAGATAAAGAAACGAACAGAGACTTGGATGAAAATTAAACAACGACACGAAACTCTGGAAAAGATGGGCGTGGATAAACTAGGTCAATAAGTTGGAGATTTGAAGTTAAAATAAAAAAAAAAAAGAATAAAATAGAATTATAAAGTAATAATTAAAGGCATAATTAGAAAAGAAAATGTCAAACAATTCGACCACGCCAAATATGTTGTTTAAAAAATGGGCTTTTGCTTGTTTGGGAACAATGGAATACAATATGATACGATAGACAATCCTCCAAATGAAAGCATATAAAATCCCTTGAGCATTCGCAATTTTTTTTTGGTTACTACTAAAAATGCCGTTGGGGAAATACTATTGCGATTATTGCGATAAGGAATTCCAGGATACTGCAGCGGCGCGGAAGCGACATCTTCAAGGCGTTCAACATCAGAGAGCTAAAGCTCTTTGGTACGACTCCTTGCGCAGTAAGTTTCTCCCTTTTCTTCTTCTTAATTAGTTATTTCTTTCCCCATATATGCAAGTATTATTTCTGCAAGAGTTAAAGGCTTTTTTTTTTTTTTTTTTTTTTGCAGATCCTCAGTTATATAACGATCCTGATTCGTTTGGTAAAGGAGTCTGCAATCACTTTGTTCGTACGGTACTGCTCTTACCTTTGTTTTCATATGCAAAAATTCTGCAATCTTTTGAGATACGGGAATTGTACTGCTTTATTAATTCCTCATCATGTTCGGGATTTTGGTTGTTTATTGTACCGCAATTCTGAATTAGCGTGATGGAAATAGAAATGATAAATGACCTAGATTGATGCATTTCATTAATCAATTAAACAATCAACTACATCTCAATCCCAAACTAGTTGGAGTCCGTTATATGAATTATTCCTATCCTTTATCCGGAGACGACAACAACAACAACAACATGTACAGTATTATCCCACATCGTGGGGTCTGGGGAGGGTAGTGTATACGCAGATCTTACCCCTACCTTATGAGGATAGAGAAGTTGTTTCCAATAGGACCCTCGGCTCAGGAAAACATAAGCACCACATTAACGAAAATATAAATAAGAAGGGACAGTACCAAAAGCCATATAAAAGCAGAATAAAAACAATAAGATAGTAAGCGAATCAATAATGAAAGAAAACAACGGTTAGTCATAAAAACCTACTATCTACAAAAATCGAAACTGTGTGTTAATACTACTGTTATGAACACTCCAGACTACCTACTCTACTACCCTAATCCTCGACCTCCATACCTTCCCATCAAGGGTCATGTCCTCGGTCAGCTGAAGCTGCGCCATGTCTTGCCTAATCACCTCTCCACACCAGTGGCGGACGCAGGATCTCCACGAAGGGGGTTCAAAAAAGAAATTGTAGCTAGTGAGAATTGAAACTATGACCTTAAAGATTTTGAACCCCCTTGACCACTAAACTACACTTTGGGCTGTGTTAAGGGGGTTCAAAACTTAATATATAGAGGTAAAAAACAGATTTTGCCTTACATATACAGTATAATTTTTCGGCGAAGGGGGTTCGCCCCCTTCCGTCCCCCTAAATCCGTCCCTGCTCCCTACCTCTTCTTTGGTTTACCTCTACCTCTCCGGAGACCTTATCATATTTTAAGTTCTTATGCCATAGCTAATCTATTGCAATCGTCTTCCTTTATGTGAGATTGGACTGGCTATACTTGGGAGTTTTATTGATGCATTTCATAATTACCAATAAAAGAAGAAGAGAGATTTGCATTTTAAGATAGCTTGAATTAGCATGTAAGGCTTTCTGGGCCTTTTTTAATAGAAAAAATATAGTTTGCTAAGACCCATCATCTCAGAATAGCGCCAAGTTGTAATTGCAGCTTTGGCCTTCTGAGTATTATACTCTACAGCAGAAGTTTGGTAACTTTAAGAATAATTTACCATAGTAGGTCAAGTAACTTGGTAGTTATGAACACAAACGGGTATAATGTTTGTTGCTTTCCACCTGAATTTATTGCCCAAGGTCAGATGACACTTCTTATATTGTTGACTTCAACGTGACACATCATTTACATGTTGAAAGAGTAAGTATAATGGATAGGGGATGGCGAAGTCTACCCTCTAAATTATATGTGTTTGACACCCTTGATTGGATAATATTGTTGATCATATCTTTTACTTGCATCCAAGGGGTATTGCCAGTATGGGGACTCCTGCAAATATTATCATCCCAAGCAAAACTCTCAAAATTTGCAACAAACGGGAATTCCAGGTATCTTTCTTGCAAGTTTTGTTTATATTGATATTTGATATTTTACTTTTAATCAACTAATGTCTTAAATATAGGATTATATTAAGCATCATGCTAGCAATTTCAACTTATTGGCCTCACAAAGTATTTTAATTATTTACTTCGACACAAGTACTTGCATTTGTCTAAGAACTCTAGGTTGCTGGAAGACGAGGTAGCCTTAGCCACAGAGAAATTAATTTTATTTTCCTTAGGGATTGGATTAGTTTATAGACTGTCTGCTACCAGGTGAATTTTAAAGTGAAACTAGTACTCCTAGCAAGTTGTGAGTAATTATAAACCAATGACAAATTATGAGGTTACTCGCATGTTAGGGAAGAATAAGTGTCCAACTTCTGGTGAATTTCTTACCCTAGACTATTCGGGCGTCAACCTGGACAAAGCAAAATTTTCACTATCCCTATTTCATACAGATCAATAATCAGTCTCATACTTATCAATAATCAGCTTTCTTCATAATGAACTAGTTATTAATCTGATTTTGGGCTTGTCACTTGAAATAGTATCACACTTCAAGTTAACTTTTTTATTTTTCCCTTGAATAATTAGAGTGGTTTTACTAACAATTTCATTTAACAATTGATGATGTCAAGAAATTCTTTTAAGAAGGCAAACAATATTTGCCTTTTGGAATCAGAAGGGTCTGTGTAAGAAAGTTTGTCAAGAAAGTGTTCTGAATTCGAATTACAAATATGTGGGTCAGTGTATCCTGAAACACTCTAACACGCTAATGGTTTTTGTGTTTTCTTCTTTCTGGAAGAGAATTGGAAAACTGATGGAATGCAGTTAATGATTGATGTTGTTTGCTTTTTCCTGAAATACTTGTCTTAGTCAGCTCACCAGAAACAATTTCCGGAGAACTCATCTGAAAGATGTCCTATTTTTGTCAGATGTTGTAAAACTCTGAAAGGGATATCTTAGGGAAGTAACAGAACTTTTGGGAAGTGTAGCTTTAAAGTAGATCTGCGCAATCAATCTTTGTGAATTTCTTGGAATTGGCAATGTGCAGAAGTCAAGGGACTTATCTTGTAATGTTGCAACTTCCTCATTCAAGAAGTTCAAAGTTTATATCCCAACCTTTTTAAAACTTTTATTGTCCTGTAATTTTGGGTTTTCATTTCTTGGAGTATTTCCAAATGATTGACAGACCAGAATTAGTTTTTAAAGTTTTGAAGTATTAATTCTTTATATGGATATACTATTGAATTGAGAGAGTGGTTGATTGTTCATCTCTTACGAATTTGAATAGCTCTGGGAAGAACTCAGTGCTTGCAACTTTTGATTTCGTTTTCTTTATCCAATTCTCAGGAAAAACTACTAGAGAGGGTATTCACTTAGAGAGTGTATCAAATAGTCAACTTTTCGGTTCAGCATCTTTTCCAGGCAAGCATCACTTTTTGCACATATGCTCTTTCCATTTGAACATTAATATTCGCGCCATCTGTGACATCAGATCTAACATTCTTTTAGAAAGGTCTTGAGATCTAACCTGAAAATCCATTGTTATTTGATGTTTCCATCCCACAATTAATCAGCTGATGTTCTTGGTGTTTTTTTGGGGGTTAATCTTTTAGTTTTCAAAAGAAGTTTAATTGTCATGTTCTTGGTTGTAGCAGGTGATGTGTTCCGAGAAAATGGCGGAGCAAAGCTGGGCAATCTGCCTCCCTCTCTAAGGCCTCCGCCAGAGGGTGGTTATCCACCTCTCCCTTTTGTTGACTGGGGATAAGTCTGCCACCTCATTTACTACTCTTGTCAGATATGCTTTAGAGTAGATTGATTGAAACATGTCGATTGCTCAAAATATATAAGTACTAGATTGACTATAGAAGATATAGATGACTGCAATTTCAGCCGAGTGATGTGCAGCTAGAATCGTGGGATATTTTCTGTCTGTATCAGGTCAGTCAGTCCTCCTGCGTTAAGAGTGATTACCACATTATAGTTAAGCCTAAGATGTTTTCATGTTGACATTTTATTTTTTCTTTCTAATAAGATTTGTTCCTCAGCTTATAGTTGGACATGTATACTGTTGGGTACAATTACCTAGAAGGAACTATTATTTTGAATTGGTGATTTACCTTGGTCTCAAACACTTCTAGATCAATTTTAGAGCCTCTGTGACACATGAAACCAATATTCTATGATGGCTTTTTCACATGCAGTGCTCTCTTCATCTCGAATACGTTATTTTATCATATAACTCAAAAGATTGTTGAACCCGCTGATCGCGGTTTGGATCAGTCCGATTCAATCCTTAAAGCGGACCCAAATGGGCGTTGTATTTTATATTTTTTGTTAGTATATAGTTCAATTATTAGATAAAAACATTAACATTTACAAACAAATAATACAAGAATAACATAATAATTTTCAAGTTTGGAATTTAGCATTTTGAACAATGAAAAACTTACATTCTTACAAATCGAAATACTTAGCAACTAACGGAATGCAAAACATCACGATAGAAGAACACGCAAGCTCAATGAATAATAACTCCATTGCATAAATATGAGTCGATCTCGTCTCCTTTATGTATGTTTCTTCATAGTCCCCGATCAACTCTAGCAAAAACTAAATCACTTGTGCCAGATTTAATATGAAAATCACTATTAAGTCTTTCTATTTGTCCTTCTATACCATTAATGTCATATGTATATGGGAAAGATAAGTGGTCCAAATCACACATCTATATCTGTGAGTAGTTTGCTGCTTCTTGGAGATGATAATATTCCTAATAATCAAATTAGCTAAAAGTATGAAGTTAGGGTGATACTTTATCATCCAATGAAAAAACATTATTTATCTCAATTGTGAATAATATCTCCGCCACTCCAACAAAGTAAAGCTCCCCATTTGTAGTACCAAATATCAAAGTATGCATAAGGTAATGTCAGCACAAAATTCCAAAACAATATGTATCAAAGCATGCTCTGTAATATATTTGTTTCTTGCAAGCATTCAACACAATGCTTTCTTTTGACTTTATAAAGCCAATCTGAGATAATGGGATTTAATATGAAGCAAAAAGTGGTCCTATGGCTATTAGGAGTTTTTATCTACTCCTAGTGGAACTATATTTTGTTAGACGCCCTAAATCCCTGGTCCTAAAAGAATGAACAAAAACTAAAGGAATTTCTTTAGTGAAACTCTGTAAGGAAGTTTTTGACTAGGTGAAAGATTATTTTCAATTATAAGATTAGTTTTTTTTTTCCTTGAGTCAAGCTTCGAGAGATTAATTTCTTAGAAAAATTAACAAGGGGCTGATCAAAAGATAACACTATATATGAAACTTCTGATAGATAAGTCATTAGTCATTTTTCGGTTAGTGTAATCAAGGAGTCTTAGCGTACGTCATGTGACCAGGAGGTCATGGGTTCAAGCTGTGGAAATAGCCTTCTGCAGAAATGCAGTCTAAGACTTAACTTTTTTGTAATCAAGCAGAAAAATTTGAAAATTTACCCACCAATGCAATCCTTTTGCTATATGACCACTAAAAATTGTGATCCAAATTTCTATAGTGCTCCTAACTGAAAACTAAAAGAAGCATTATCTGAGGAAGATTTATAACCATACATTAAACTATAGCAGGTTCCATCAGAATAACTGAAAGAAGAATTACCTATTGGGCAATCTCACCAGTTTTGGGACCAAAGAAAGTGGGAAGTAATGGGAAGAAAACGTGGGGTTCTTTAGATTTTCACTATTATGATTATATGATACCTACCCACCCCCAACACCGGCTCCCAGTACCCCTTATCTTTTCTTGTTCGGATTTAACTTATATATACCGACAGCGTAAAAACTATTAGTACTATCTTGTAAGTAATACTTCATCTGTTTCAATTTAGATGAGTTAGTTTGATTTTGACACAAAGTTTAAGGGAAAAAAAAAATAGAAAACTTTTGAAACATGTTGAACAAAAGCTTTGTGGAGACATGATATTTGCATGGCAATAAAAGCTTCTCATTAATGGTAAAGTGGGTAAAATGAAAAGTTCAAAGTTGAAAATATAGAAATGTGTAATTCTTTTTGGAAGGGACTAATAACTAAATTGTGTCATTTAAATTGAAACGGAGAGAGTGGTAGTTAACTTGTCTTTTTTATAGCAAAGTTAGTAATTCCATTTCTTATGTATGTTACGGTGTAGTTATCTTTTAGGTGACCAAATAGTGTACATTCTTGATACTGTCAACATGTTAAATATACGAAGCTCTAGCAGAAATAACCTCTCTAACTTCTCAAGGTAGGGGTAAGATCTGTATATACACTACCTTCCTCAAATCTCACTCATGGAATAGGGGTAAGATCTGCGTATACACTACCTTCCTCAAATCCCACTTGTGAAATTACACTGCATTTGTTGTTGTTGCGGCATTATATGGGAGTTAAAACACTTCTTGTCCAAGGGATATCCTCCATTTTTCCTCAACCAGAAAAACCATTATGCAAATGGAATTGGTCGGTTTTGATATGATTAAAATAATGCCGACCATGCAAAAGAACCCTTCTTCCACTAAGAATCACTTAGTATAAAAGGGATATTCACTTTGAGAACTTGTAAATACCATACTCATTATCAACAGCAGCAAACTGAACTACTTGCATAGTCTTTCAACTTGTTTACAAGTGCTCTTTTTTTGGTGGTGGTCACATAATACAACTTCATTTTTGTTCTTTTTTTGACTTCCAAGAACGTGGGTGCCTTCCCTTATATCCTTCACCTTCTGAAAAACCTAGTCTTTAGCTTTTTTTTACCTACTGATAATGACAAGAAAAACCTACTCATGAACTTTTGAGTATGGCATCTTTGATTTAATGCATGATCTTTTAAGCCTAGTGAAACTGACATTATTCTCATAGGACTTAGTATTAGCCAGGGGTCTACTAAAACAAGTAGCCAAATTGTTTTCCTTCACTTCCTTTTTTTGGTTCTATAAATTCTTTCTTTCAATTAACATCCTAAGAACTAGACACAAATTATGGACTTTACTAAGATTTTCTTCTTGATTTTTCATTTTATCCTGCTTTCCTTTGTTTGTTCAGTTCATGGTAGGCTTTATGACTACCCGAACGTGCCCCGTTTTCGTGCATTGTCACAAATTTCATTGCCACCTTCCCCTGCACCTGAGGGTGCACCAGAAACTAACAATGGCAAGAATTCAAATGATTCTGCAGCCATTTTCAATGTGTTATCTTATGGTGCTGTTGGAGATGGTGTGACCGACGATACACAAGCGTTTAAAATGGCTTGGGATGCTGCTTGTCAAGTTGATTCAGCCATTGTATTAGTTCCCTATCACTATTCCTTCATGATTCAATCCACAATCTTCACTGGTCCTTGTAAAAGTGGACTTGTTTTTCAGGTAATGTGACAACATATTTCAATTTTTTCGGGTACTTTTAACATTCTTTGATAGTTAGTAAAGTGACTAATTAATCTGATGGTGTAGATTGAAGGAACCATAATGCCACCAGATGGACCTGATTCATGGCCAAAAGGTGTCAGTAAAAGACAATGGTTAGTCTTTTACAGAATTGATGGAATGTCAATGCAAGGTGGTGGACTTATAGATGGCAAAGGTGAAAAATGGTGGAATCTTCCTTGCAAACCTCACAAAGTAATTTTCTTTACCCCATTTTTCCAATTATAAATTTTTCCACTGAGCAAATTAACTTCCTTTCTAATGTAAATAACTTCAATGCAACAGGGAATAAATGGAAAAACTGTAGCTGGTCCTTGTGACAGCCCAGTGGTAAGTTCAAAAACACACCATTTTGTTCACTGAATGTTTATTTTGTATTATACATTAACTGAATGTTTATTTTGTACAGGCTATAAGGTTTTTCATGAGCTCAAATTTGACAGTTCAAGGACTTAAAATCAAGAACAGTCCATTTTTCCATTTCAGATTTGACAGTTGCCATGATGTTCACATTGATTCACTTTACATAAAAGCACCATCTCTGAGCCCCAATACTGATGGAATTCACATAGAGAATACCAATGATGTCACTATACAAAATTCAATTATCTACAATGGTAAAGTCTTAAATTCCTGGACAATTTCCTACCCCACACCCCTTGAGTGCCACCCTTCCCCGACCCTGCGTAAACACAGATACTTCGTGCACCGGGCGACCTTTTCTTTTTTAACTCATTCTTTTTCTCTTATGGTTCTTCTTGTTCTCTTTCTAAGCACTTGCCTTATATCTTGTAGGTGATGACTGTATTTCAATTGGAGCTGGTTGTTTCAATGTTGATATAAGGAACATGACCTGTGGTCCTAGTCATGGAATAAGGTATATTCAATTCTCTGCAACTCTGAGTATCATTATCTTTTTATGTAAAAAGTAACAAGCAAGTTTGCACCACATATATAACCTTAAAAATGTCATATTAACTAACAAAACTGCCAGAGTGAAAGTGGTATGCCCTACCACTATACAAAAAAAAAAGGAAATATATACTGTACTAAAGTAGAAAGAACAACACTTTTAAGCCCATAACAACATGTCTTTCCTCTTTCTCTTTTTCCCAAAATCTTGAAAATAAAGACTCTGTCTTTGCATAATTTTCAGCATTGGCAGCCTAGGTATTCGCAATTCGCGGGCATGTGTATCGAACATTACAGTTACAGATTCAACTATTAAGCATTCAGACAATGGTGTTAGGATCAAGACATGGCAAGGTGGATTTGGAGCAGTATCAAAGGTTACTTTCAACAACATTAAAATGGAAAATGTCCGAAATCCGATAATATTAGATCAATACTACTGCAACAACAATAACAAGAGCTGTGCAAATCAAACTTCAGCAGTGTACATTTCTGATGTGATTTATTCAAACATAAAAGGAACTTATGATGTGAGAAGTCCACCAATGCGTTTGGCTTGTAGTGATAGTGTCCCATGCACAAATTTGACTTTTGTAGATGTGGAATTATATCCAGCTCAAGGACAGAAAATTATAGAACCATATTGTTGGAATGCTTATGGAGATCTTAGGAGTCTTACTATTCCGCCAGTTTTTTGCTTGTTGGAAGGCAAACCTCAGTCATTGCCAAGTAATGATGTTGATCAGTGTTGATAAATTTGCTAAGTATAGAAATTAAGTTGTAAAAGATGTATTATGGTTGCATAGAAAAAGATACTAGTATGATAATCAAAGTATGTATTAAAGTTTTAGTTCTACTAATATTGTTGCAGAGGGAGTAAAACTGAAGTGTAAGCATGTATCCCTTTGTTAATGATATAAATATCTTTTAAACCATGGTAATGCTTTGTCAGTTTTAGAATATCTTCTTTTCCTTTTGGATTTTACTCATTATATATGCTGATAGTGTAAGGAATTTTTGATTATCAGTAAATTCTAACCAATAGTAGTAGGTAATTTATCTTATTTCTCGTATAATTACAAATTCTGATGGTTATCGATAATTATCTTTAGGTGCTATGACAATGTAATTCTTTTCTTATATTGTTAGTTTTCAGTAGTTAAACTCTTTTCTAGTAGCTTTTTGCATGCACAAACACATGTACAAGAATCTAAATAAAATTATCTTGGTCTTTGCCAGTACTTTATATTATTTTTTAAGATGAGATCCAAAAGCAACTTTATGTGGTCGATGTTATATTACTGTTTCACTGTCAATATGCTACCCAAGTAACTATTCAGTTATCTAATAATGGTAATTTCAGTCAATAGGTAATTTAATGATTAGTAAGACCAATTTATAAGTAACAACATGTGACAAAATGATTTCCGGCAAAACTCTCAACAGAAATATAGAAGTGACTCTAGAACAACTTCGGGTAAGAGTAACCGTAGATTATTACTCCCTGTTCACAATAAGTGATCAATTTGTCTTTTTATTTTGGTCCAAAATAAGTGTTTATTTATATAACCAAGAAACAATTCAATTTGTTTTTCCAAAATTACCATCATGTACGTATCCGTAAAAAGTCTTTTACTACTCATATTAACTATGCTGCAATATTTAATTAAGGGTAGCTTAGTCATACTAACTACTTTTATCTAGAATTTAGTATTTTTTAATGGGGGTGCCCAAGGCAAATTGGTCACTTACTGTGGACCGGAGGGAGTAAAAGACTCCTCATATGTATCAGCATTATTTTATAGGCTTATTAAGTATTAATTACGTCTATACACTAACAGTATAAAAAATAAATTTAATAACTTGAAAAATTAGACAGGTTATTTTTTACAATGGGTTAAAGTACATGTTAATATATTTTTTTTAAATTTGCACTATCATTGTATCTAAGTTAACAATAAGTAAATTATGCCTCTCGAGTTCTTAAACTAGAGTGTTTCGTCTGCTGCTATTTTCATTTGACTCATGAAATTGATACTGTATATTTTTTCTGCAAATGAATAGTTTATCTGATCTGTAGCTTGGCGAAAGTAAAAGAAACCAAAATTCAGAGTTTAGACCATGTTGGGATGTCTAAGAAATGAGCAATAGAAAGGAATCAAGAACTTTGTCACTTTTAACCATTTAATGATTTAAGAAGTAACTAAACCGCACACCTGTCATTCGCTACATGCCAAAAAGTTTTTTAGAAAGTAACGAAATGTAATGTAATATGAATAATTCTAAATAGAACTTTTCCTATTTTGCTCCATGGCTCTTGGCTTAGCAGATGCGGATCCAGGTTTTGGCGGTCGCGGGTACCATGACACTCACTATAAATTTACCACTGTTCGTAATGATTGATATGGGGAGTCCATTACTCAAATGGTCACTCAACTATCCCAAATTATCTCCTAAAGTCACTTTACTTTCGTTTGTAACAACAAAGTCACTGAACTATGCCTATTGCACTCAGAAGGTCGCTCGTCTAGATTTTTCAAATTTTAGATTGCCAAATACCTATTTTGCCCTCTAAATTATAAGTATTTATCTTCTTTTTATTTTTTTTAAAACTTTTTAATATTATGATTTTCCCTTTTTAATTTATATTATGGACTTAACTATAGAATAAATAAATATTATTTATAAATTAAAAAAATAAAAAGTATTTAAGCATGTATAATGCTGGAATAACAAAATAACGAGCTTAGTAAAAAAAAGTTAATTAGAATAATTTGTTAGTAATAATAATTTTAGTATTAATAACAAAACTTCAAAAATTTATTTACACAATTTAGAATGAAAGAAAATAAAGGTTGTAAAATATATATTCCATGCGCGTAATACAAAAATAATTATTTAAATAAATATATTTTTATAATATACATTATATATTCTTGAAAATTACGCTCAATTATATTATTATGTTTCTATCAACTTTCCGACGACACAAAGTTATGTCACCGGAAAGTAGGGGGACTATATGTATAGGGTAAAATATACTATGTTAAATCGTGCATGGAATATATATAATAAAATTGAGCATAATTTTCAAGAATATATATGTATATTATAAAAATATTTTTATTTAAATAATTATTTTTATATTACATGCATGGAATATATATTTTACAACCTTTATTTTCTTTCATTCTGAATTGTGTAAATAAATTTTTAAATTTTTGTTGTTAATACTAAAATTATTATTACGAGCAAATTATTCTAATTAATTTTTCTATGCTCATTATTTTGTTATTCCAGCATTATAGATTATAGATGCTTAAATACTTTTTATTTTTTTAATTTATAAATAATATTTATTTATTCTATAGGTAAGTCTAGAATATAAATTAAAAAGGAAAAATCATAATATTGAAAAGTTAAAAAAAGAAAGGAAGATAAATATTTATAATTTAGAGGGTAAAATAGGTATTTGACAATCCAAAATTTGAAAAATCTAGTTGAGTGATCTTCTGAGTGCAATAGGCATAGTTCAGTGACTTTGTTGTTACAAACGAAAGAAAAGTAACTTTAGGAGATAATTTGAGAAAGTTGAGTGAATTGGAGTCTGATAATATTTGATTATATTTTTTAAGACATTTGTAAGTAAGCATATATGGAGTTTTGCTGAAGTTTTCGGGTGCCGGTGACCCCTCAACTTAACATGTGCGTATGGCCTCTGGTAGGTTAAAGACATACCATGTGTACCAAAAAATAAGAGTTTAACTTCTATGCATCGATCAGGTCACATAAAAAATAAATACGTTACCTACTGCAACATGTTGAATTAGAGCTATAGTGTAAAAATTGTATACTACAGTATAAGTTATATCCAAAAGAGAATGTCAAATGTTCTACAAAAATAGGCTTGGTAATCCCCTTTACGTTTAGGTAGGTTAGCGTGCACGTAGGTAATTGTAGGTTAAGTGGAGAAGTCCCTAGTAGTAGAAATTCTTTGAGTAAAAGACGCACAACTGCTTTTCTATTTGGGCCAAATACTAGTGATTCTTTTTAGTTACGAGCAGAGGCTGCACAATGCTTTTCGTTTCACCCACATGAGAAGATTTTGAGTGGATATAAGAGTAAAACACACTGGTCTTTTTTGGTGATAATAGTTTCTGAGCACGCACTCCAATATTAATGAATATAAAACTTTTTAAATATTACATAAATATCTTCAAAATGTAATGTTTGAGTTTAAAAAAGTTAAAGAAATCGCGCCATGATTTATTGGATATAAGTAGGAGACTAGCTAGTTAAAAAGTAAATATATTAAGAATAATAAAAAAAATAAAATTAAAGAAACATATTAACTGAAACACATAACAATTTTTGTACACTAAACAATGGGATGAACCTTTGCCAAGTGCCAACATGTGCACTTATCCAGAAAAAAGTAGCTAGAGCACTAGCACATAGAGACATATATCATATGCTCCTCTAAAACGGAATGATATATTAAACATGCAAAGACAGACTAATTAATTAGATGTTACTAATAAAATTATGATATATTCATTGTTATTCAGTCTTTATGGACCAACCAGCTTGTTGTAAAGAATAAAATCTCCTAAAACGATGAATACCAGTATATCACAAGCATATAGATGAATCCCATAGTTCCTATCAATATAAACATGAATAACAATATCTTGACAGTTTGTACCACAAATCCATTATAGAGAGTAATCCAATTAGAATGAATAGGGTTAATAGAAGAATATAATGACCAGCTAGAGTCGTTTGTATTTTGTCAGTGAATTTGCAAGTATATTATTTTGTCAATGGCAACTCTTCAAATCCTTCAGTTTAAGTTTAGAAAAAGAGAAGATTGGTTAACTTTTTCTTGGTACCCATTTAAGAAGGAATTTATTTAGTTTTTATTATTTATCAATTACAACTCTTCAAACCTTCAGTTTTGGAATTCCCAAAAAGAAGCTTGGTAATGTACCCATTTATGAAGGAATAAATTGGTTTTCTATCAGGTGTTAAAGTACATAACATTTCAAGGCTAATTTTGTTTATTACAAGAGCAGATGAAGTATAAAATGGTCACTCAACTTTTTATGGACATTTTGGTAATTCGATTTTGAACTTTGGAGCATCCTACTGTTTGTATAACTAGCTGTGGTGGGCACGAGGAGAGGTATAGAACGGCCCAAGAAATATTGGGGAGAGGTGATCAGGCAGGACATGACAAGACTTAGGATTACTGAGGACATGGCCCTTGACAGAGAATTGTGGAGATCGAGCATTAAGGTTGTAGGTTAGGAGGTAGTTGTGAATATTTCTTCGGCGCATCAGAGTGAGACTTGCCAGTTAAGTTTTAGTCTTAGGATATTAGTGGTTTCTACTGATGCAGGTCTTCACCTACTGGTTATTGTTGTACTTTCCATCTATTTCGTGTTTTTTTTATATTGCTGTTATTTTATTATGATTCTATTGATAGTACTAATATATCGTCTCTTGTCGTCTTCTTGAGCTAAGGGTCTCCTGGAAACAGCCTCTCTACCCTTCAGGGTAGAGGTAAGGTCTGTGTACATACTACCCTCCCCAGACCCCACTAGTGGGATTATACTGGGTCGTTGTTGTTGTTGTTGTTGTTGTTGTTGTTGTTGTCTTTTTTCCTATTGTTAATCCAATGTTATAATTAATTAGTTTAAGTTCTACTAATTTTTGGGTACGCGCGTTGCGAGTGTACTCTTTATCAATAAGTACATAACATTTAAAATTCACATTAAAAATATATGTTTGAGTTATCAAATAAAACTTAGCTAACAGCATGCAAAATGATGAATACTGATCTTGTTGGGCTAACTTGACAATGGAAGAAGTAATAGCAAAATTACA